CCTGAAGCTGCCCCTCCTCATCGACGAGCTGCTGAAAATCCCCGGGGTGAGTCAATCCATCCGGATTCTCCACTTGATCATTGTTTTGAGGCCAGATTCCATGGCTTGTGTGGCAATGAAAAGCCCCCTTTCTGCCTTCGAGCCCTTGGGTTGGACAGTTCGTTGTGGGGAGGGTTGAAAATGTGACGAATAGTTTTTTGTTCTGGCCTTTTCATCCGTCCTTTCTACTTGATCTAGAGAAAGAGTTCGCTTCACATCAGGTTTTTCAGGGCAGGAACTTTCCCTGCTGGAGGTGTCTGTGCATTATTCTTCAGCAGAGGTTACTAGAGGTGCCCGGCAGAGGCCACTGCTGGCTCGAATCAGGAAGGAATTTGTGCTGCTGCCTTTTAACTCGAGGAGAAAAGTTCGAGGAAAACCTAGAAACTCTTTTTAGAAATGCAACATCTGCTTTGGCGCAAGGAAACGAGGCAGGAGCAAGAGGGTGTGCTTAGATATCCGAGCTGGATTGATTAGATTGGTTCATGACTATTGATTTGGATGGTTTGGGAGGCTTTTTTGGGAGGCTTAGGCAGTTGGGGGTGTTCAGCCTGGGGAAGAGAAGACTTCAGGGAGACCTTAGAGAGGTTTTACCACCCAGGTTTATTCTGGAGAATAAACTGAAATGGCCCAAATGAACTTATTCTAACCAGTTAGGAACTGTCTCCAGGAAAGGAGCTGCTGGGGTGTGTTTAGACTGACTTGCCTGTTGGAGCAGAGATAGAACCACAGGCAAACAGAGGGTGTGCCAGGTAAACAGAAGGGAAAAAAAGATATGTGGGCTAAAGTGATCTTGAGAACACTGATCTCTTTCCAAAGGAGCTGGAAGGGCTTGCTCAGAACAGGGATGGAGGAGTCCACCCCAGCAGAAAGCCTTAATTAAGGAGAATATTTAACTAACAGAGCAACTTTCCTTGGGGAAGAGGTGAAGCCAGCACCATTTGGAGTCCTTGAAGATTGATCACTTGCCCTTGTCCTCCTTAGGGACTTCAACTGGCCCAGTGTCTCCTGGAAACAGAGCAGAGGAGGAACAGGATCAGCACTGGGGTGTCCAGCAGGAGCAGGGCAGGGATCACCCCCTGTGCTGGGCACTGGGCAGGGGACACCTGGAATCCTGGGGTCAGGTCTGGGCCCCTCAGGACAGGAAGGACATGGAGGGGCTGGAGCGTGTCCAGGGAAGGGCAGGAGAGCTGGGGAAGGGGCTGGAGCAGAAGGAGAAGGGTCTGGAGAACTTGTGAGGAGCAGCTGAGGGAGCTGGGGGTGTCCAGCCTGGAGAGCAGGAGGTGAGGGGAGACCTGCTGGCTCTGCAGCTGCTGAGAGGAGGTTGGAGCCAGGGGGGTCGGGCTCTGCTCCCCAGGAACAAGGGGTGGGACAAGAGGAACCGGCCTCAAGTTGTGCCAGGGGAGGTTGAGGTTGGATCTGGGGAACAATTCCTGCCTGGCAAGGGTTGTCAGGGCCTGGCCCAGGCTGCCCAGGGCAGGGTTGGAGCCCCCATCCCTGGAGGGGTTTCAAAGCCCTGGAGATGGTGCTGAGGGACACGGGGTAGATCTGAACTAGGTGGAGTTGGGTGAGTGGTTGGACTGGATCTGAAGGGTCTTTTCCAAGCAGTGGTGCTGTGTTACCCCTCTGAGGGGCTTTAGCTTGGAGAGGCTTAGCTGCAGTGTTTGATGAGAGAGCTCGAGCTGGATCACCTCCAAGTCCTGTAAAACCAGAACACCACTAACCAACACTAGTGCAGAAAACTCTTCCTGCAGGCCCAGCCTTCAGGCCCAGCTCCAGAGTACACACGTGTCCCCTTCAACTGCACACTGCTCTCTGAAGTCACCAAAGAAGTCATCTCCTGCAGGCTGGGAGGTTAACACCCCCTTGAAGCCCATGGCATGGCAGAGAGCAGCATTAGCACCTTAGCTTGGCTCCAGGCACCTTCCTGTGAGGTGAGGTTCCTATGGGAATTACAGGCTTGGGTGCATTTGTTCTGTGCCTGCAGAGTTTGGCTGGAGCATGGAGACCTCCCCAGCAGAACCTGGGCTTCCTGCAGGAAAGAAGAGCTCGTCTGGGCCAGTGAAAGAGTCCCACCTCCTGGTGGGTGTGACGGGCAGTGTGGCTGCCCTGAAGCTGCCCCTCCTCATCGACGAGCTGCTGAAAATCCCCGGGGTGAGTCAATCCATCCGGATTCTCCACTTGATCATTGTTTTGAGGCCAGATTCCATGGCTTGTGTGGCAATGAAAAGCCCCCTTTCTGCCTTCGAGCCCTTGGGTTGGACAGTTCGTTGTGGGGAGGGTTGAAAATGTGACGAATAGTTTTTTGTTCTGGCCTTTTCATCCGTCCTTTCTACTTGATCTAGAGAAAGAGTTCGCTTCACATCAGGTTTTTCAGGGCAGGAACTTTCCCTGCTGGAGGTGTCTGTGCATTATTCTTCAGCAGAGGTTACTAGAGGTGCCCGGCAGAGGCCACTGCTGGCTCGAATCAGGAAGGAATTTGTGCTGCTGCCTTTTAACTCGAGGAGAAAAGTTCGAGGAAAACCTAGAAACTCTTTTTAGAAATGCAACATCTGCTTTGGCGCAAGGAAACGAGGCAGGAGCAAGAGGGTGTGCTTAGATATCCGAGCTGGATTGATTAGATTGGTTCATGACTATTGATTTGGATGGTTTGGGAGGCTTTTTTGGGAGGCTTAGGCAGTTGGGGGTGTTCAGCCTGGGGAAGAGAAGACTTCAGGGAGACCTTAGAGAGGTTTTACCACCCAGGTTTATTCTGGAGAATAAACTGAAATGGCCCAAATGAACTTATTCTAACCAGTTAGGAACTGTCTCCAGGAAAGGAGCTGCTGGGGTGTGTTTAGACTGACTTGCCTGTTGGAGCAGAGATAGAACCACAGGCAAACAGAGGGTGTGCCAGGTAAACAGAAGGGAAAAAAAGATATGTGGGCTAAAGTGATCTTGAGAACACTGATCTCTTTCCAAAGGAGCTGGAAGGGCTTGCTCAGAACAGGGATGGAGGAGTCCACCCCAGCAGAAAGCCTTAATTAAGGAGAATATTTAACTAACAGAGCAACTTTCCTTGGGGAAGAGGTGAAGCCAGCACCATTTGGAGTCCTTGAAGATTGATCACTTGCCCTTGTCCTCCTTAGGGACTTCAACTGGCCCAGTGTCTCCTGGAAACAGAGCAGAGGAGGAACAGGATCAGCACTGGGGTGTCCAGCAGGAGCAGGGCAGGGATCACCCCCTGTGCTGGGCACTGGGCAGGGGACACCTGGAATCCTGGGGTCAGGTCTGGGCCCCTCAGGACAGGAAGGACATGGAGGGGCTGGAGCGTGTCCAGGGAAGGGCAGGAGAGCTGGGGAAGGGGCTGGAGCAGAAGGAGAAGGGTCTGGAGAACTTGTGAGGAGCAGCTGAGGGAGCTGGGGGTGTCCAGCCTGGAGAGCAGGAGGTGAGGGGAGACCTGCTGGCTCTGCAGCTGCTGAGAGGAGGTTGGAGCCAGGGGGGTCGGGCTCTGCTCCCCAGGAACAAGGGGTGGGACAAGAGGAACCGGCCTCAAGTTGTGCCAGGGGAGGTTGAGGTTGGATCTGGGGAACAATTCCTGCCTGGCAAGGGTTGTCAGGGCCTGGCCCAGGCTGCCCAGGGCAGGGTTGGAGCCCCCATCCCTGGAGGGGTTTCAAAGCCCTGGAGATGGTGCTGAGGGACATGGGGTAGCTCTGGACTAGGTGGAGTTGGGTGAGTGGTTGGACTGGATCTGAAGGGTCTTTTCCAAGCAGTGGTGCTGTGTTACCCCTCTGAGGGGCTTTAGCTTGGAGAGGCTTAGCTACAGTGTTTGATGAGAGAGCTCGAGCTGGATCACCTCCAAGTCCTGTAAAACCAGAACACCACTAACCAACACTAGTGCAGAAAACTCTTCCTGCAGGCCCAGCCTTCAGGCCCAGCTCCAGAGTACACACGTGTCCCCTTCAACTGCACACTGCTCTCTGAAGTCACCAAAGAAGTCATCTCCTGCAGGCTGGGAGGTTAACACCCCCTTGAAGCCCATGGCATGGCAGAGAGCAGCATTAGCACCTTACCTTGGCTCCAGGCACCTTCCTGTGAGGTGAGGTTCCTATGGGAATTACAGGCTTGGGTGCCATCAAGATGATCTTCACGCTCAGGAGCACCAGAAGCACAGCTGTGACTCCAAACTGGGCTTGCCTGAAAAAGAACTGACACTTAGAAGGGACAAAGAACCCCACATACATCACCAAGTCCCAGTGGGCAGCCACCTTATCCTATTTTTCTCCAGGAAACAGGAAAGGTCCCCAGAGGCCATGCCAAGGCAGGGATTTTGGCCTGCTCCCAGCTCTCAGGCTGGTCCTGGAGGGTGCAGATCATCCCCACCCAACTAGATAGTGCTGGGGTGATAGGTTAACATGTTGGGTCACTTCAACCACTGCTACTGAAAGAGACCTGGGTGGAGGTGGGAGGTTCCTGGTCTGTGAGAGCAGGAGGACACAGACCAAGTGCTTCAGGAGCTTTGTACCTCAGGCCTTCTGGAGGGAAGGGGTTGTTGGTGAGGCTGGTTCCTCCCTGTCTCTCTGCTGGGCTGACAGAACCACATAGTGGGTGGCACTGCCTGAAGGAGAAGGCTGTGGTGGCAAGTGGCCAAAAAAGAAGGAAAAAGGGTTATTTTTCACTCTGATGAGTGGCCTGAGGTGCATTTTCCACATGAGGAATATGTTGGGAGCACTGCTTTGCTGTGTGCTGGTGGTGCTGAGCTCAGCAGGGGCTCCAGGAAAGCTGGGGAGGGACTTGGGACAAGGGCAGGGAGGGAGAGGACAAGGGGGAATGGATGAAAACTGGAAGAGGGAGATTGAGGGGAGACATGAGGAGGGAATTGTGGAGTGTGAGGGTGGTGAGAGCCTGGCCCAGGTTGCCCAGGGAAGCTGTGGCTGCCCCATCCCTGGCAGTGTTGAAGGGCAGGTTGGCTGGGGCTTGGAGCAGCCTGGGCTGGTGGGAGGTGTCCCTGCCCATGCAAGGGGTTGGATCCTGATGATCTTCAAGGTCCCTTCCAGCCCAAACCAGCCTGTGGTTCTGTGATTGTCCTCAAGACTAATGGGTCTGTCTGTCTTTCCTGATCAGCTGGAGGTGAAGGTGGTTACAACTGAGAGAGCAAAGCATTTCTACAATGCCCAGGAGATTCCTGTCACCCTCTACAGTGATGAAGATGAGTGGCAGGTGAGTGTTCCTCCAAGTTCCATTGCAACAGACCAACAGACCTGATCTTTTTATCCTTGGCCAAGACTCCCTTCTTTGTTCTTTGGGACACAGCTTTCAAAGCAGGTGGTTCCAACTGTGCTGTAAAGGAGGATGCAAAGCAAGGCTGCCCTGACTGGGAGGATTCTAACCCTCCCTAGCAGTGAAGGGTAGACATGGTCCCTCAGCACCCTGGGCTCAGCCCCTGCCTGCAGCTCTGGGAGGGTGTCAGGAAAAGCCACCCCAGAGTCACAGGAAGGGTGGCTGGTGTTTGTCATGCTGATCACCAAGGCAGCAGCCTCATTCCCCTCAGCAGGGCTGTCAACATCTTTAGACCCTGCAAAGGGCTTTTTCTCTTGACTGCAATTTTGCTGATGTGCTTTGAGGGTCCCTGAGTGTGGAGAGGTTCATTGTGCAAACACCAACCTTTGGTTTCCTGTACATTATCTCTCAACCTTGCAGCACCCATCTGAGTACAAGATCCACTCTTGACCAGCACCCTTGCCACTGCACTCACCTGTGAGCACAGTTTTTCTCTGGAGAGAGGCTCATGGCAATGGTCAGGAACTTTTTCTGGCTGCTCTAGGAGATGGGTGGAGATCTGCTGCCTGCCAGGGTGCTACAGCTCCAGGCAGGGATCTCTGAGGAACCCTCAGGAGGTGACAGGAGAGCTTTGGGGTCTCCTGGCACACTGAAGCCCTTACAGCAGGTTTTTCGTACGGAAGGGTGGGAGAGAACCCTGCTCACCCTCTGTGAGATATTTTACTCTGAAAACTACACTTTTCAAGGCTTCTAGGAAAACCAGAGGTGGGTGTAGGATCTGGGAAAGGTGTCAGGAAGCACCAGCTTTCCAGGTGCTGCCTTTTTGTTGTGGTTGCCAGTGACTCAGAGAAGGAGCAGTTTGTGGCTCTGATGCATCTCTTGCTGGCCTGTGGCTCCGTGTGTGTGATCCCCTGGGGATGAAGCCCTTGATGCTGTTTGCTGCTTCTCACAACACTTGCCCAGTTAACTGAGCTCTTGAGAAAAGCTCAGGACTCTCTTGAGCAGCTCAGGACTTTAGTGACAAGTCATGTAGATCCAAGAGAGGAGGGAAGTCCCCGTTGGCTCAGCCCCATTTCCCACCCTGTCAGATCTTCCTTGATGTGAGGGTGGTTTTTTATTCCCCCTCCTTATATTTTACCTGCTATTTCCTAAGGTGAGGCTGAGAAAGTGCCCATTGCCCATGGTGTTCCTTGCCAAGCTTGGGTGATCAGCTCCTTGTCTCCTCCTCCTCCCCAGCTGTGGAAAGCACGTTCAGACCCAGTCCTGCACATCGAGCTCAGGCGCTGGGCTGACCTCATGCTGGTGGCCCCTCTTGATGCCAACACCCTGGCCAAGCTCGCCAGTGGCATCTGTGACAACCTGCTGGTGAGTAACCCCAGCTGTGCCTCAGAGCTCCCTCAAACTGCCTGACCTTCCTCTCATGGAAACTCGTGGTTCTGCAGCACCCACAGCAGCCAGATTTGCATGTTCTGCTCCCCCTTCGTCTGCTTGTCTCTCTCTTCCTCCACTGTGGTTCCCCTATTCCTTCTATAAATTCCTTCTTCCCTTCCCTGACCTACATCCCTTTCCACTCCTCAGCTCTTTCATTATTTTCCAGTCCCTGCTTGGTGCCTTTCCTGCTTTTTCAGCTGGGTGCTGCTCCTCTCTTCCTGCCTCCTCCCTCTCCCTGTCGTGCCTTTCCACACACACTTGCACCCGCTTTTGAGTTCCTCTCTGCATTTTTTTAGGTTCAATCTGGAAAGACACCTGTGAGATCAGATAAAGCTGTTTACTTCCTGCTACTTCACCTCCTCCCTCGCCCAACTACATAGCACAGACATTCAGACATGCTCACACTAACCTTCCAGTTTCAGCTACGGGGGATTTTGCTTGCTCAGGCTTGTTTTTCTGCTGTTAAAGGTGCTCTGGCTCAAAGGCTGATCTGAAAGTGTATGAAAAGAGAGTGTGCTTCTCTGCTGCTTGATGGGGACCTTCAGAAGGGCTGAATGCTTTGTGTCCAGGCATTAGGTCCTCACTGGGAGAAGTCCTAGACTTTAACCATCCACAAGATCTGCCAGGAAGCTGCAGACCTGCAGGTGTTGTTGCTGTGGTTTAAGGAGGCTAAAGCTAGGAACAGAGGGAACCCTGCATGGCCATAGCCAGGCAAGAGGGAGAGTGTGTAGATGAACAAAGTGCACGCAGAGCAACAGCCCTCCTTTGTGTGAGCAGATCTGGAGAGAGCTGAGAGGAGCCTGTGGGAGGGACAAGCAGTGCCTTGTCCTTCTTGGTCCCCTTGGTGCTGTGATGGGGGATGCAGAAGGCAGAGCTCAGGCAGGATGTTAGGGATCTGTGACTTCACAAACTTGTACTCTTCTGTTCAGAGAGCCTTGTGGAGGTAAGAGGTAACTCCAGCCAAAGAGAGCAAACACTGGAGGTGCTGGTTGGCAAGTTAGAACAGATTCTAAGCAGACTTCCCTGTGCTGGGAAGGGTTCAAATCACAGGGCATAAAAAAGGATGGGCAGGGTTCTCGTAAGAGCTCTGCAACCTGAGCAGTGACCCTGCACCAGGGACTGCTGCTCCCCAAGAAGCTCCCTCTGTGTGATCTAACTGCTTCTACAGGCCTGGGGAAACTGGTGGAGATTGCATGAGGGGCAACCAACACTTAAGTTTTAAGGAGATGAGGTGATACTGGGTTGTCTTGGAGCTTTCTATTACTGAAGAGACAGAGGTGACTCCCTGTAGCACACAGGAGCTGCTGGATGGTTAGTTATCTGTCAGCATCTTCTGCAACAGCCCAGATGTGTTCCTCTTATCCCCTGTTTGGATCCTGGAAGCAGCAGCCCTTCCCTTGTGGGGAGGTATGGATCCAGTTGGCATCTCATTTAAAGAAGCCTCACTTGCCAACTTTTTATGTTTAGTTCAACAGCTGCCTTATCTGAAGTGCTGCCTGGGGATTTCTCTTCAGCTGATAGGATCTGTGGCCACCCCTCAGCTCTCTCAGGCTCCCACACGGGCTGGCAGTCTGTACCCTGTGGTGTTCCAGCTCCTTTTGCTCCAGCCATTGAGCTGCTTCCTTGGCTCCAAGCCTGAGTAGGATGGGATCTCTCCTCCTTGTAGCTCCCTCATCCTTCTTGCCTGTCAGAGAAGAGCTTTGCTGGGATGGGATACAAATAACTAGCAGCCCTGTGGATCTGCCTGTGAGTTAGTCCAGCTGCACTGCTATAGTGAGGCCTCTGACCCTCTCATGACACCCAGGCTGGGAAAGCACTTGTGAGCAGCCCAGGGTTGAGGGAAAGACAGTCCATCTCAGGGCTGAACATCTTGGCTTCTCTTGCAGACTTGTGTCATCCGTGCTTGGGATCTGAGCAAACCTCTGCTCTTCTGCCCAGCCATGAACACAGCCATGTGGGAACATCCCATCACAGCTCGGCAGGTGGAGCAGCTGAAAGGCTTTGGCTACACAGAGATCCCCTGCGTGGTGAAGAAACTGGTGTGTGGAGATGAAGGTCAGTCCTTTTTTCCCTTGTCTTCTGACTGTTCTCCACGAGTGCTGCTCTTATCCTGAAGGGACCCAGTGGCTGTGCAAGACTGTTGGACTGCTGGGAGCAGGTGATCCCTGCCAGGGTTTATACAAACAAACAAAAGCTTTTGCCCTGTGCTTGCTGAGATCTATTGTTCTTGTTCATTAATTTTGAAGTAGTCTTAAGAGACCATCCAAGCCAGGCTTTCAAATGAGCCGTTAGATAGGCCTGATATTGAAAAGAAATGCCCATTCAAGGAGAGAGCAGATCAAAGAGAAGGAAGGCTTTGTGGTGAGCCTTATCAGCCTGGGATTTGGGTGTCCTGACCTTGCCCTCTCCTGTGACTGGGGCTGTTTTTCACCACGCCTCAGTTCCTCATCTCAACATGGGGATAATACCTTCTCCCTGAGAGCAGACAGTGAGAATAAGGGCTTTGCAGCTGTGGCTGAGGGTGTAGCTGGACTCACATTGAACATTTGTTGTTGTTTGTTGCCTGGGTTACTTTTCAGCTCCTTGTTTGAGTTTTAAGTTGGGATTTTGACATCAGACTTGTCTGGGAAGTGAAGGAGGAGTGCAGGGAAAGTTGGTTTTATAAGACTTAACCTGCAGCACTCCAGAAACCCTACTAATCCTCATTTGTATCTCAGGAGCTGCTTTAAACTGAGATATTTGGGCTTTGGGGAGGTTTGGAGAAGGTTTTGGTTTTTTATCGAAGCAGTTTAGATGAATGGATTTGCTTTTTATCTACATTTTCTTGGACAAATTGTCTGTGAAATGTCCTCCAGTTCTACCCACAACAGCAGATTTGTTATGACCTGCACAGTAACATACACATACTTTTGGTTAACAACCCAGTCTCTAGCAGGAGTTCAATAAACAGTCAGTGGTGAGGACAGGATGTTAAAATGTTCTCCATGGTGAACTCCTCTTCTGAATTCTTATGCTTCTGGAGAGAGGGCTTTTTTGGAGCTGAGGACTAAGAAATATTTACAGTTGGGGAAGTGCAGTCAAGTCCCTCAGACATCAGTTGAAATACCTTCTTCCACTGGGATTTGAGACTTGTTGACATCCAATTGCTGACATGCTTGTGATGATGCTAAAGGAAGACGCCCAGAAGAGGTCATTTTGGCAGAAGTGGAAAGGCCATCTGGCATAGCTTCTTTGTCCTTTGGTTTTCCCCTTCCTTAGGAGATAGATGGGATCTCTATTCCTGCAGGAAGCAGCCAAGAGCCTCCTCATGGCTGCAGGTTCCTGCACCTGAGGCAGAGCTGTCTTCTTGTCATCCCTGTTCTACAGATGGGGATCTGGGATGTGAAAGGGCCCGTGTGAGTTGACTCAGCAGCAGAAATGGCTTTAAATTGGTTGGGGAACATGGTTTCCACCTCCTGCTTCTCTGCCCTTCCCCATTCCTGGGGGTTACCACCTTTGTGACAGGGACACGTGAGCCACATGAGAAGCAGCGTGTGAATTGCTGTGGTTTGTAGCCCAGAATGGCAAAGTAAACCATCTCATTTCACCAGCAGAAGTGTTGAAGGGCAGGTTGGATGGGGCTTGGAGCAACCTGGGCTGGTGGGAGGTGTCCCTGCCCGTGCAGGGGGTTGGATCCTGATGATCTTTGAGGTCCCTTCCAACCGTTCTATGATTCCATGATTGATTTCCAGTTGAGTTCTCTCTACTGGGAGAGCAAACTCCTGAGGAAACTTGAAGGACAGCTGGGCCAGGGGTAGCCACATCTGACTCAATTTTGCTTGTGTTTGTGAGTCAATTCACAACAAGACTTTCCTGTTGGGAAAGACCAGGATTTCCCTGGCAGGAAAATGATGGGGTAGCAGTTGTGGTGGTTTAACCCCAACTGGCAACTAAGCCCTACACAGCCAGTGGCTCACCCATCCTCAGTGGGATGAGGGAGAGGATTGGAAGGGTGGAAAGTGAGAAAACGTGTGAGTTGAGATAAAGGCAGCTTCATAATTGAAAGAAAGTCATAAATAATAGATTGTATTTGAAAGGAAAATAACAGAGAGAAATAAAGACAAATGATGCAAGTGAAAACAATTGAAACCAACCAACTGATGCCCAGCCAGTCTCCCCCCAGCTTCCCCCCCAATTTTATTGCTGAGCACAATGTGATAGGGTCAGTTGTCCTACCTGGGTCCCCTCCCAACTCCCTGTGCTCCCCCAGGCTGCTCCCTGGTGGGGTGAGGAGCAGGACAGGCCTTGGCTATGTGTAGGTCCTGCTCAGCAGGA